AAGAGGTCAAGAGGAAGGCCAAAGAGGAGATATATGGATGTGCTAAAAGAGGACATGAAGTTAATTGGGGTGAGAGTAGAGGATGCCGAGGATAGAGTTAGGTGGACACAGATGATTCGCTGTGGCGACCCCTAACGGGAACAGCCGAAAGAAGAAGAAGAAGATGTCACGTAAGGCACTGTTATGTATGTTTAACAATAAAGGTTCTATGTGCATCTTGAAATGTTTGACTGTTTTGTCTTTTAAAGACAATAATATACTTGTGCCATCTTAAAATACCATGTGTAATAAAGATATGCAAGGTTGATAGAAATACAAACCCGATTCCAAAAAAGTTGGGACACTGTACAAAATGTGAATAAAAACAGAATGCAATGATATGGACGTTTCAAATTTCAATATTTTATTCAGAATACAACATAGATGACACATCAAATGTTCAAACTGAGAAAATGCATCATTTTAAGGGAAAAATAAGGTGATTTTAAATTTCATGGCATCAACACATCTCAAAAAAGTTGGGACAAGGCCATGTTCACCACTGTGTGGAATCCCCTCTTCTTTTTATCACAGTCTGCAAACGTCTGGGGACTGAGGAGACAAGTTGCTCAAGTTTAGGAATAGGAATGTTGTCCCATTCTTGTCTAATACAGGCTTCCAGTTGTTCAACTGTCTTAGGTCTTCTTTGTCGCATCTTCCTCTTTATGATGCGCCAAATGTTTTCTATGGGTGACAGATCTGGACTGCAGGCTGGCCATTTCAGTACCCGGATCCTTCTTCTACACAGCCATGATGTTGTAATTGATGTAGTATGTGGTCTGGCATTGTCCTGTTGGAAGATGCAAGGTCTTCCCTGAAAGAGACGACGTCTGGATGGGAGCATATGTTGTTCTAGAACTTGGACATACCGTTCAGCATGGATGGTGCCTTTCCAGATGTGTAAGCTGCCCATGAATGAATAAATGAATGAATGCCTTAGCTACGCACCAACATACATACACACCACATACACACACATTGAGATTTTTCATTTTGTTATGACTAGGTAGAGACGAAGCGGCTCCAAGCATGCTGTCCCTGGTTGTCAATCAATGAAACTATAGCAATAAAGCAAGCCAAAACTCTCCTCCTCTCAAAAAACCCACGAAGTGTACAAGCACTGCGCCCGTTTATACGCATGGTGAGAGTTTGATAACCCTGTCCTGTATTCAAAACCGGCACGACACAACGCCGACACCGCGTGTGACGTCATGAAGCTTCATTTGGGGAGTCACGTGATACCTCGCATGGTAAAGCAAGGCATCAAGACATCTTGCTGTGATCCTTCTACTTTGAAAGATCTGCTTTGTGTCGAGCCGTCTGCTTCGAGCATAACATCACTAT